ATTACAAACCATTCTGCAATGAACATTTTGTTCATGTCTTCCTGTGCACGTGAGTGAGTTTCTCTAGCAGTCCAGTTTTGCTAGCCTTAATTTACCTCTTCTTAACTGAGTGACACTAAGCAAATAAATATATGACTCTAAGAAATAGTTTTCAGATGCCTTCAATTTGTAGATGACCTGGATATCTTCCTTTCAGGAATGCTGCCTTTTTTTTTTTTTTTTAAACTAGAATAACATTTTGAGGTATTTTCCAGGAAGTCCAGAGTGTCAGGCATTAATTTATTGACGGTGTTATTTGGTGTATTCATTTACTATTACATTCAATTACTTTATTAGGGGTAATCCAAAAGGCACAAGATGCAACATAACTATATAACATTTAAATGTCCAAGATGGGAGAATAGAATGTGTGGTCATTGAGAGCTATGTCTATGAGTTACAACAAGCATCTTGAAATGCAGGTAGTATGGGAGAAAGAAAGGAAAGAAGGATGAAAGGAAGGAGGGAAGGAAGGATTGAAGAAAGGAATGAAGGATGGATGGATTGAAGGAAGGAAGGAACGAAAGAAGGAAGGGAGGGAGGGAAGAAGCAAAGGAGGGTAAGAGAGAAGAAAAGGCAGGAGGTGTGTTAATTAGGTTGGGCTAGGTTGCAGTAACAAATAGACCTGGTTGTATAATGGCTAAACATGATAGAACTTTATTTCTCTGTCATATAACACTCCAAGATGGTTCCTGGTCAGCAAGTTGCAGCTTTGCTTCCTGCAGTCACTTTTCAGGATTCCAGGTTGACTGCTGCTTTACCATCTTTAAAATATGGCTTCCAAAGTAGAAGTACCCTGGGGACTGAATGCTGCAGTAGGGGACAAGATGCTAAAGATGGGGACAAGAGGAGTTGTGTTCAAACCCAAGTGGCGCCTGATACAAGCAGGCACCCTGGTCTGGATGTACAGTACCCTCCACTCGCAGGGCACAGTGCCTGGATCATGGCTGTGCCCAAAACAAGTCAGGACCATAGAATCTTCCCCTAAGTTTTTTGTAACAGGAACTTGTTTCTCTGATCTTTTTTCCAAAGTGAAATGGATAGAAACCTGCATCTGTCAGTAGCCCGCTACGTGGAGAAAATGTGTCTGCAGAGATGGGAGGCAGAGAGTTCTGATGATGTCAAGTCTCAGTTCTAGTGCCTAAGGTTCTCAGAGCTACTCTAGTTCCTATAGCCCCTCCTTCTGTTCTTTGACCACCCCTATCCATCTAATAAATCCCCTAACTAAACCATCTCAGCCTAATTGGAGTTGGCTTTCTGCCACTTGCAACTGAAAGGTACCTGACAATATAGAAACTGTAGGTAAAAGTGGAGCATGATTTACTACAGGCCTTGAAATCCAGAACCAGATGACGGGGGGAGGGGGCACTTCATAGAAGAAGGAGGATCTCTACCCAGTGCCAGGTCTCCAAGACTCCCAAGGGTCAGATAAGAGTAAACTCTTTTCAAGCAGAGTCAGGAGGTTTGAGACATAGTAGAAAGTATAAGGGCTTCAAAGGAACCAGAGGAATGACTGGAAGTCGTCTTTCTCAGCCCCTTCCCAAAGCACTCTGCTGTCACCATGTCAAGCCCCACCCTCCACCCCCATCCACTGCAAAGCACCATATACGGAGATGCTGCTGAGGATGGAGGGCTGAGTAACTCTGTTCAAAACTCTTCTGTCACCCTGTCCCAAGGGAGAAGACTAAAGGAAACTTTTAAACGGAGGTCTTAGGGTGAGCAGAGCTCTGAGTCTTGTTTCTAAGAGGAAAGGGAAAAAAAAAAAAAAAAAAAAAAAGGAAGGCCGGAATGGATTCACATTCAAGAATTACATCTCAGCAAGATTTCTGGCATTGGTTTTGGTTTAATGGAATCTCCAGAAAGTGAAGCAAAAGGCAGCCAAGCCAGATCACATCCATAAATTTATGTTATAAACCAACCTAACAAACCATTCAGCAAATTATGTTCCACTCTCCTATACTTTCATAATGACCTGGAAATTCAAGTTATATGTAAAATTCTCAAACTATTTGGAGTTCCTTTCCAGAACATGGCAGTGTGGGGATGCTCCAACCCTAGAAAGACAGCCTGTGGCTTGTCCACTTCTCTTTTCACATCAGCCCATCCAGCACCAAAAGTAGACCTACACACACAAGGGGGGGGCAACTGCATTATGCATATCCCAGATCCATCTGCCCATCCTGACCCGCACACACATTGGTTCACGTGGCCCCTGAAAATGGGCTCAGATTATTGGGTGGGGAATTCTAAATCCCAAGTGCTTGAGGGATGGTCTACAATAACGGGTGCAGGTTCCAGGTGGGCACATCCAGTTGGCCCTGGAGACTTTTTGTCCAGAAGAGGGGCACAGTCAGAAGAGTGCTCATGGACACCAGGACAGGCTGTGTGGGCTTTGCCTGATCGAGAGGTGTGGGCCTCCTACCAGGATCTGGGATCTCAAGAGCTGTTTGGGCTCCAGCAGTACTTCTTTGGGTTCAGGGGGCACCCCTAGTGGGTTTTAAATAAAATCCTTTGTAGTTTGAACTAGTTGGTAGATCTCTGCTATCTGCAGCTGAAAGAATCCTTAATAATTTTCAATGTCAATGTGTTTCAAGCAAGTGGTCTGTAAGCCACTGCTCCTGGTTTTTCTGAAGCACTTATTCTTACCATGACTTGTCAAAATGCACTTTCTTCCTCCTCCAGCAGTGGAGTAAACTGTACTCTAGAAAATCAGGCATCTGATGGCCTTTCCTACATCCTGAATTAAGCTGGTCTGCTCTACAGAATTTGAGTATAGTGAGCATTCCCTTCTCTTTGAAAACGCCTCTTTTCTTAACTCAGGGATAACAAGCAAGCTAATCTTCCTCCTGTTTCTCAAACAGCTTCTTGTAAATTGCCATCCATAGCCTTCTCTCCAACTGTACATGCAAAGTATAATCTTCCTCCCTAGGTTGAAACTACAGTTGACTTTTGAACAACAGAGGGGTGAGGGACACCAACCCCCAGTACAATAAAAAATCCACGTATAACTTTTGACTCCCCCAAAGCTTAACCACTAATAGCCTACTCTTTTTTTTTTTTTTTAAATGTTTTATTTATTTCTAGGAGAGAGAGAGAGACAGCGTGAGCAGGGGAGGGTCAGAGAGAGAGGGAGTCACAGACTGAAACAGGCTCCAGGCTCTGAGCTGGCAGTCAGCACAAAGCCCGACGCGGGGCTCGAACCCACGATCCGTGAGATCATGACCCAAGCGAAAGTCGGACGCTTAACCGACTAAGCCACCCAGGCGCCCCACTAATAGCCTACTCTTAACCGGAAGCCTGAAAAATAACATAAAAAGCCTATTGACACAAAATTTTTATATGTATTATACACTGTATCTTTACAATAAAGTAAGCTAGAGAAAGGAAAATGTTATTAAGAAAATCATAAGGAAGTACTGGACTATAAAAAAACCCACACATAAGTGGTCCTGCGCATTTCAAACGTGTGTTGTTCAAGGGTCCACTAACTTCCAAAGGCCATTTATCAGAATAATGATTTGAGCACGGTGATGCTCTCTCTTGAAGAACTCATTTACTCTGGTACCTCATGGTGTCACCTTCTTAGAGATGAATCCCAAAATTCTATCTCCATTCTTGTCCTTGGTTTCAAGCCCTACTTTCATATCTTCACGTACTGGACATTTACATTTTGGTTTTCAGATTCAGTAACACACCTAAAACTGCAATTATTATCTTCTGTCACGGGGTCTCTCCTGTTTCTTTCAATTTTTGTCAGTTTTGTCCACTAGTGATTCACACTCCTGGTTCCCAGGCTTCAAACCAGTGTTATCTTGGACTCTATCCTCTCTTTCCTGCCACAAAGTCCTATTGATTGATTCTTTCTTTGCAAGATGTTTCTTATTCAACCTTTGCTTTTTGCCTGTTCTTCTCCTTCTAGTTTCTGTTCTCGCGTATCTTCATTCTTTTGCCACAATAATCTGCTAAAGTTGTAGGGTTTTTTTTGCATGACCTCTTCTTTTTTCTTGCTTAATAACTTTCAGTGGATTTCTATGGCCTGAGGAAAATTCTAAACTCCTTTGCCCTGATACACAATACTCTGCAAGATGACTCAATTTCAGCCTCCAGTGTTTCCTTCCATTCAACTTCAGAATAAACCCTCCATCCCATCTGGGCCCATCTTGCCATGGTCCCTGAACACAGATTGCTCCTTCCTGTGTTCCTGTCTTCATCCCTTCTCTGCTCCCCGACTGGAAAGGCCAGCATCTCCTCTCCTCTCAGCTCTTGCTGACGAAACAAGCCCCAGGTCCTCTGAGAAACCCTCAGCTACTTGAGTGTTTGTTTGTTTTTTCTTCCTTTTCTGGACTCCTGTCTACTCTATTTGACACTTCACCTATTATCTTGAACTCTTGTATACATTGGTTCATGATAGAGTTCCCTTTCAAATCAGATTTTAATTTGTATGAAAACAGAGCCCATGTCTTCCAATTTGGTTGTCTCTTTCCGTTTCGTTCTGATTCACCCAGTGCTAAACACAGTAAGTAGCTGCCTAAGAAATTTTACCCTGTTACTTTTGTGTTCTAAAATAAAAGTCTGTGCTTTATATTTTGTCTGTTTTGCCACTTGTTAGCTGGTATTGCGGATGCTAAAGTGGTGGGTAAAAAATAAGTACACCCTCATAAAAGTTCCATTTTACACATACCCGTTATACCGATAAAGCCCCCTGTCCCTCCCACCATTGTCTTTGCCTTAGAGAAATAGGTTATCGTCCTTTTAAGGAAATACTATCACACTTCAATAAAAGTTGTATCCTACAAATCCCTCTTACCTTCACTCTTTCCTGCATGTAATCTAAGATCCCCTCAGATCTATTTTTGAAATTCAAAGAGAAAAGAAGCAGCAGACTCAAATGCATGTAACAAAAGATGACATAGTAGTATCCTTTTTCTTTTTATTGAAAAGGAATCATTTCTATTCTAGCGCAAACAATGTATATTTTACATCATAAAGCAAGATATAATTTACATATTACATTTCTTATGAGATCTTTATACCTTAAGTGTCATTCCCTTTTTTAATTCAATCACCTCTTCTGGTTTGCCAAGTATCCTACAAATCAGCATCTTGTTTGCGGAGGGATTGGGGACACAGATAGCTTGTATGTATTCATCTGCATCTGGGTATAATGATGGTAAGGAACAGGGGTATAACTTGGAACTTTGTGGTCCTGAGACCCTCTGTTGAGACGTGGCTTGGAAGACAAAAGGCTACTCCTCTAAATCATTTGTCAGACTTCTACTTTAAAAAAATCAATAATAAATGAGAAATACTGAGTGTTTGTCCCGTGTGTATACTTCTTGATCGGATGCTTAAATAATAGATGCTTTCACAATCCATGAAAATTCCTATGACTGATCTCGGATATTCTTGGATACTCTCAGATATCGCTAATTTTGGATACTCTCAGACAGTGCTTCCCATGCACGGGCAGTAAAAGCCCACTTTCATAGAGCATTCAGGTTTCGGGTTTGGGGTTTTCTGTTCACTGCTAAAAATGAGTGTGTCAGGATAAGAGCTTCAAATGACTTTGTTTCACATGACCTTCTACCCCTTTACACCCTCTTCGAAGACTCCCCCATCCTAGCAACACCCTGTCATGTGTGACTTCTGTTCCCTGCACTATCACCCAAACTCACTTGTAGCTCTTCTCCCCAAAGCCCAAACTCCAAGAGTTCACCAATGTCTTGGATTGTACTCATTTCACAAAGAATGTTTTAATCTGTTGGACCACACTGTTCCTTTGAATCTTCATAATCCGCAGCAGCTAGTGGGACAGAAGAATTCATTGAGGGACTCTTAAGGAAGCAAGTAATATGTGGTGTTCAGCCAGCCTACATGAAACATCTGTAAGAAATATTTTAATAGTGTGTTAAAAGAAGAGAGGATCAGCTGATGAAAGCAAAATGCATGCGATGGGCTTCCTTCTCTTTGTTAAAAGAAGTACAGAATCAACACTCAAATTACATTTTCAGATCGGTGGCTGTTTAGCGGGAAAAAAAACCCACCACCATTCGCTCAACTTGATAGGTTGAAGGGATAGCAAATGTGTGCAGAAAGTGCATCTTAGTCCTTGCCTGTCACCCAGCATTGGCATATTTGGCCAAAACCAATCTAAAGCTTTTTAGTTACAGACCAACCTGGTAAGAATAAAAATAGGTCAAAAATATGTCACAAATGTGTGTATCTTAAATTAGTCTTTGGTCAAGTGATGTGTTTTTTGATAGGTCGGTAAATATAAACCTATCTCTCATTTCTAAATACAAGGCTGTAAGTATTTACGGCAAGGTAGCATTGCCTTGCTAGGAAAGAAGGCTTCCGGGTACCATGTCTTTCATTAACGTTGTGTACTTTTATAGTCCCTTTCCTCCCGTGGCTACAAAGTGCTGCACAAACAGAGAAAACAGGAAAGAATGAAGGAGCAAATGAAAGGAGCCTCACAACACCCCTGTGAGGTAGGTAAGTATTGTTAAACCCATTTTACAAAAAAGGTAAACTGAGGCACGGCATGGTGGTGTAGTTTGGTCTAGTCCACCTGACAAGTTACCAAAGCACAGCTGGAGACAAAAAGAAACAAACCAAGACAGGTCAGTCCTGGCTCACAGCCCTAGGCACTAAACTTTATTTCAAAATACCGTATTAGAAAAAGAAGGGCCCACAGTTGCCTTTTCCATTTTTGGAATTTAGACAAACCTTTAAGTAGTCTATTTAACCATGTGCCTTTCAGGCTCCTGTCAAGAAGGGGCAGATGACTACATGGCTTTCCATCCTCTAAGTGTAATTCCCATGAGGTATTAGGATCTATCCCCATTCCACCAGAGCTCAGGCTCCAAACTCAAAACACTGTTAGAGCCTCAAATAGGCTCTGATTTATTTAAAGCCCAAATGTGAAAATGCGAACTGGTCTCAAACAGATACCCTATCGATTGCTCTGTGGCCTTGATGAGAATTTTATGTAGAGAAAGAAAGGAAACAAGATCCCTAAAAACATCTCATCACTGTAGAGATAAGGACAGTGGTGATGGTGTGAAACTTGCTTTTTGTAGTGTTTGAGAAACTGCAAACTCAAGCTTGCAAGAATATTTTATATATATATATAAAATATATAAATATATACAGTATATATATAAGTGTGCATCTGACTACCCTTAAGGCACTAAAGAGATGTAGGCCATGCCTTTCACAACTCAGTCTTTGTTTTCTAGAGAAATTTCTCTCCCTCTCTCAAGTGAAATATATTTCTTCTATCAAATAGCCCGTGACAGCAAATCATTAAAAAACAACAAATATCTTTAACTTAAGATGGCTGATTGCTCAGATGGGGGTGAGGGGTGGTGGTGGTGGTGATATTATCATCTACAGCTTAGAGCTTAAATCTATACCTTATATATAGAGCTTAGATCTACAGCTTAGAGCTTAGAACTAGCCAGACATAGCCAATCACATTGGATCTGCTAAGCCAGTGACCAGATGTGGTACATGATTGCCTTTTTAACAGTAGCTGATGGAAAAGCCATACCATGACTGACAGAAATGGAGACGATGAGAAAGGGCATCATGTCTGGCAAAGAGTCTTCAGAAAGACTTTGGCTTTCCAGAAGTTCCTAGAGCTTCTATACAGAAAACTGGGAAGAAGGAAAGGGTAAGGCACTGAAGTTCAAACAGGTCACTGAGGAGACTATAGACGATTGTTCTGAATATATATATGATTTCTTTGGCTGCTGTAGTTTGTTTTTTAACCCATATAATCATGGGGGTGGGTGGGCTGAACCTAACTGAAGAAGCTTGGAGTATATTAAAGCAAAGCGCATGAAAAGAAGGAAAAACAAAATTAACACACACAGAAACAAGTGGTGGTGGTATCCCAGAGGGAGGAGAAACATTGATTAACTAATTTTCATTTTGCTCCTCTCCTGCTTTTCTCTGCCATGGTCCCAATATTTTAGTTCAGGTTTTGGTTTGTTTGTTTTTATTTATTTTTTTTCCAGCAGATGAAGAAATAACAGAGCAGGATAGGTGTCTTATGGTTTTTGATTTCTTCTTAGGCCTGCTTAATTATTTTTTTTTCCTCAGTTGACTGTTGGCACCTGGTTCCTCTGTAAACTATATTCCTTGGCCTTCAGTCTCAGGTTGGCAATGCTGTTGGCCATGTTGATGCCCTGTGCAGGGCTATTGTTGGCACATGTGGCAGAGTAAGTGGCCATGGCGCTGTAGGGACAAAGGAGAGAGCAGGGAGAACAACAGGCATTAGTTTCACAAAGCCGCAAGTCTGTGCCCCAGACAGATGCAACTCTCAGCACGGGCCAGGTGGGGGCAGGTGGGTTGGATGGATGACCTCTGAGGTCCCTTACAGCCCAGATTTCCATTGGTCTAAGGCCCTTCAGAAAGTGATTGAAAGGGCAGGGGAGAGCAGGGAGAGTAAAACAAGGCAGGGAGAGGTATTTGCTGTGTTGGACACAGTAGTAATCATTCATTTCTGGGGTGACAGAAGAAAGCTGCTTATGTTGAATAGCAGGTGTTTCATCAGCTGACCAATTGAAACAGTACTGAAGCTCTCTTCCTGCGCACATCGCCAGCCTGTGGGAGCAGCAAGCCAGAGAAGCGGGCATTTGAAAAAAAAACAAAAACCTAAAAGGCATTTCATCCTCTTCCCTAAAGTAGCTGCCCTTAATTCTAACACATTTTAGGTAATTAATGAATACCATATTAAACCGTGTACTTGAGAACCAGTTGAGCCACCCATTCCTGATTGAATGGCAGGTAGCACTAAGTGTAGCCAAATCAAGAGCTTCTTATCCCGACTGGCCTTGATTTTATAGCTTCTTCTCAAAAGCACTTGAGAAGCTCATGATGCCTTCTGGGACAGTTCTTTGGGAAATGTTTAAATCCCCTAGATAAACATGCAAAGGCTCTAGCCAGTTTCAGGATTCCTGACCTCAGAGGTAACTGTTTCTCTCTGTCCTTATTCCTGAGCAAAACTTGAAGTCGTTTTTCATTGTCAGAGATTGTAATTAAAAACCTGGAAATACAACTAGACAGAAATGTGCACTTGGTGGTTTTCTGTTATTGCATCCATGAATTTCTTTTGAAGGAAAAAGCAATGCTTTAATAGATTTGAATGTAAATTATTCATTACTGTGTACTACACAGTTAAAAGAGAGCTCATTTTAATTAAGTGAAAATGTTTCTAGTTGTTTCTAAGATTATCAAATTCCCTTTCAACTGAGGCCTGAAATGAGATAGACTTATAAATGGAATGACATGTGCTTCACTGTTGACTGCATTCCAGTGCGATTTTATCAGCCACACAGGAGTTTGTGGCTCTGGGGATCAAGTGACTGACCAGAAAGAGAGAAAAAGTAAAGTTACTCTACAAATAGAAAGACTGTATCATGAATACTTATTTGGAAGACCATATAGTTAATACTTATAGTCAAGACTCACAAGAGCCTATTTCAGCTACTAGCAATTAACCCAGGCAAATTAGATTAATGAAATATAATTAGTCCCAGATCACTAGGTTTTTCCAGAAATGCACATCCTTAATTTAAAATCCTTATAGCACTGGTGTGTGTGTGTGTGTGTGTGTGCGTGTGCGTGTGCGTGTGTGTGTGTGCCTTAAGGCAGAAGGAGGAAGATTCAATAGGGTTCCAAAAGAAGCCTATGTTCTTCCATTTCATTCTTGTCTGTTTCACTCTAACTCATTTCTGGGTAGATGATCTTACTTAACCATCTACACAAAGTTATGTTCTCCCACAGAACCTTATAATTTCCCTTCTGGCACTTACTTATTTCAATTCCTCAACTATAAGCTCCGAAGACCCAACACCATAGACTTTGTTCACCACTGTATCCTCAGGTAGAGCTAACACCATGTCTGGCACAGATGTGGCCTTAAGAAAATATTTAATGAGTAGATAACTGAGAAATAGTTGCTATAATTAAACTGTTTCCTCCTTAATGTCATTGATCTCTGTCATGCTGTGAGTCATGATTTTTAAAAGTATTTTACCAATATGCTTTTATCCATAGGAATTAGTCCTTCCTATTGGTTTTGCTCTCTTAATAGAATGAACAAAATTGAAGGGACAGGACTAAAGCAGGGGCTGGTGATTGCATATTCTTGATCCTTAAAAATATCTTTTCATAGTAAAAAAAAAAATGAACAAATATTAGTGTGGATTAGACTTACTCAACAGACTATCACTTATACCACTGTCTACCAAATGAAGCAGAAGAGTCCCCAGTTAAGGTAGGTTTCACTTAGGAGTGAGATAAAAGATCAGAATAACCTGTTAAAATGGGCAAGTTTATTTTTAGTAATATCTCCAAAACTTTCATTTATTTTCAAAACCCATTTACATATCATTCAACTCCTATATGAATTACATGCTTCCATTCAAGACACTACCAGAAATCTATGCAAGCCTGTAAATCTTACACTCGGAAAATTACTAGGATATACTGAAATCTACGATTTCAATGAAATCAAAGATGTAAAAAGTTAAGAAAAGAGAATTGGATTTGGGAAATGTTCCTAAGTTGTCGAGTATGAAGTGTACCAAATTAACTGGGTTTCTGTGAGAGAACTAAGTCCTAAAAACGGTTCTTAGTACCATTTAACATGTATAGGAGAGAAGTTGAAATGGTGAGTCATCTGTATTATTTGTTAAACACTGAGAGTCAACATGAAAGACTTCTGAAAAAGAAGGTTAAAACTTACTGAGATGGCATAAAGAAAAAAATTCCCTGATGGCAAACTGTAGAATGTCATAGAGTACTGCACTTTTAAGTACCAGACCTCATCTTCCAAGGGGTTCCAGCCTTTGAGATTCTAGACAAGCAAAGTCCTATTTAATAGGTTCCCTCCTTTTTTGATGGTCAAAAGCGTGGTCCATTTTCCTTAGCAGACAAAGGAAACTGGAACCTTGGGGGATTATTTTCATTAACTAAAGATGCTATTACTGTTTTCTAGAAATGTCTGCTGTAGTTGTGACTTCAGTTTCATCTATTGTATAGCCATTTTTGCTATACTTGCACCACAGGTCACTAACTTCATTTGATATTCTAGCCTGAAGGCTTCATATGGTTACACATCTCTTAGAAATACTGAGATTATCTCTTTAATGCCCGCCAGATATTAGCATCCCAAATGAGATAACTGTTGATCCACTTTCCATCTCAAAAACAAATCACTGCAAATCACACTTAAATGTTGCGCTGGAAATTGGATTTTCACTGGGACAGTTTCCCTTAAACGGAATCCTGAGTTTCTAAAGTTGAGAAAGTACCCTTGTCCGTGTGTACTGTGATGCCATGATAAAGACACCACTCTATTAGGTGATACTGTGACGATGCGTTGTAGGTAGCCCTCAAGTCAGTGGGGTATGAAATAAAAAAGCAGCTGACATTAATGAGTTTTGCAATCCCCTAGGAGCTTAATAAATGATACCATTTGCACTTTATAAATGATTCAGAAAGTTATAAACTTTTCAAAAATGGATTCAATTTACTCTAGCACATTCCATACCCCTAAGAAATAGGACGAAAGAACAGAGGCAGTCTTCCTTCCTTCCTTGGCCTCTTAGCCAACGTTTGGAGTATATAATCCGGCAAGTAGAGACCATAGGGACATTTTGTGCACATACTAAAGAATTACAAGCCCCTGTTCCCTCCAGCAGTTTGACATGGGTCTAGTTTCTCAACTTGCACCAGAAGAGCCATACAGGCAAGCAGTGAGCAGTCCTTTGACACCCTGGTGACAAGCAAGACTTGTGACAGGTCAGAGAAGACAGAATTAATGAGTGGGTACTCTAGAGCAGCTTATTCATACTTTGAAAACAGCATGAAAAGCAAGTTGGAGAGGGACCCACTTCCTAAAGTGACAACACTTGGAAGAGAGCCTTGAATGGCTGCCAATGTGAAAGACTGTTTGTGGCCACCTGTTTTCCATGTCATCAAACGTATAAAGCTCTGTGTTGGGAAAAGAGAGTCTTGAAATGTTTTCTCACAGGACAGAAACCAATGAGGATAATTAGCTATTTTTGACAAATTTTATAGGGCCGTTCAAAAGGTAAAGTGACCCCTCATTCCTATACAGGATCAAGTGTCCCGAGATTAGAAAGTGAGAAGGAAACTATGTGACTGGTATAGATGAAGCACACGATAACTCCAAGAGCCTCCTTACCAACCCTGAGAGGTCTTGTGCATTGGCCCTACTGCCTAAGAACCACCTGTTCCTCTAACAGGATGCAAACATGAGCTGAAACAGGGACTTACAGGATTTGGCTGAAGCATTGTTTCTACTGAGGTTTTAAGAATATATGTTCTTTGTGTCTGTGACCAAGAAACTGCATTGCCAAATACAATGCCTTGAGGAATTAGAGATGAAAAAGAAATGGTTGAACTCCATCTGTCGATTCAGCAGATCTGCTCTGGGACTTGTACAGAGCTGACACATTTAAGCAAGCTTGAGATTTTTTTCAACTCCTTATTTGGAGATGCCTAACAGATGTAGCTCAGCCACAGACAGCAGAATGCTAACCACCAGCAGGGTTTGAGTTCTGTTTGCACTGGGGACAAATCATTTTGGATCATCTCAACCTACCCCAAAAGGTTGTTGGGAGGAGGAACGTGTTCAAATGACTGCCAAACACCAAGGAAGCATGGAAAATTCTATATACGGTATGATTTTAAAACCAGGAAACTTATAAACATCTGCCCCTCTGCTTTCGAATCACCCATGGTGTGTGTCCCACAAATCACAAAACAATGGAGGAGCACTGGGGGGGTGGATGGAGGGGGGCAGAAATAATACCTGCCACAGTTTTCAACTCTAACTTTGTTTTCTCTTTGGCCCTTTTGGACAAATGATGACAAGCTGTTGAAAATTTCCCCCCAAAGACAAATCTGTCAGCCCAAGAACCCTGTGTGTCATCCCGAGATCCTAAGTTTCACCAGCTTGGGGTTTCTCCAAAGGCCATAGAGCTTGAGACATGTGTGACCCTGTCTGTGACATGTGGAGGTTGGAGACCATCTTTCTGGCAGGTTCTTTTGTCTGTGCAAGAACAGAGGTAGACTTGCTTCATCTAAGACAGCTCAATACCAGCTTTCTTAGGGACATTTACTTATAAAGAAAGATCCCATAAATCCTTTTCGAAATGATCTTTTTTGATTTAAATAGGCATTTCTAATTTCAGTTTTTAACATTCAGAGGCTGATTTTTTAAAACGTGTATTTAGCTCTTAGAGCAGATACACTTGGCCCCCAGTTCATTGGTAAGCCTTGAGTTTGCACTGAAGGTTCAGTGAGCCTTCTGCCATTTTTAAATTTTCTTTCTAGAGATGTTTTTATATATGGAGCCTTGCATCCTTCTCTTGCCTCGAGGGCTTTTGGATCTCTTCCTTGAAATGCACATTGACTGCCTAGGAATCAAACACTCCTGTGAGATACGCAGTAGGGAAACGTGGCTAGCTCCACCTTAGATGTGAGGCTACATGAGGGACTGGTGATCCAACCAGCCTGGGGAGGAGCAGGCTGGATAAGAACACAGTTCTTTGGACCCCTGCCCCATACCCTAACAGTCATCGGACACCCTGTGTCAATAGCATCAATATCACGTGGAAGCAAATGAGAGATGCAGACCCTGAGTCCTGCTCCAGGCTTGCAGAATGAGTCTGCACTGTAACACGATCCCAGGTGATTCACATGCTCAGCAGTCTTTGAGGAGTCCTGCTCTAGGCCATCAGACTACCCTTAATTTTAGGGACACATAGGTTAAAGGCTCTGGTTCCCAGGATTTTCCCCACTTGAGGACCTCACTGCTGGCATTGCTAAGCTGCAAGCTCCACTTTCTCGAACACACTTCATTCCCCCTTAAACCCTGCCCCCACAGCAGCCACCCTCTTCCCCCTCTGACAAGTTACCTTTTCAGTGTCTTCCGTTAGAATCCGTTATGAAGCCCCTCGTGTAAACAACATCTTGGGAGGGACGAGGATCTATTTTTGAAAGCGTGAAAGGGAGAAATGAGCCAAATGCGTTCAGTGGATGTCAGGCAGCACCATGACCACGATCAAATGGGGGAGGAGAAGGGGGGGGAGGGAGCCGTGGACAAGGAGAGCTGGCCTGTCTTTCACTTGTTGCTACTTTTCTTTGAAGCCCAGCCCTCCCTCCGAAATGGGCAGCACAGACCCAACACAGCAGATCCAGGCCATTCTCCGTCTCCCGCAGGAGAGGCCATCGCTGGGGAGAGGCTTCTCAACTACTTCATCTAAAATAACAGAAGTCTAAGATTTGGTTGACCCCAGCTCCCCAAGAGGCAGAGCACCAGAAGACTGGTGAGTCTTAATACCTCTGGGGTGGTGTATGTTCTCCTTTGCCTACGGAAAACAGAGCTGAGCTAAGCAGTGGGCCTCTGTGCTGAAAACAAACTTCCCTCCGCTGGCCGTGGGTAGATAAAGAAAACACCTGCCAGGACAGTAGTGTCTGTGTCGTTCGAGAATGCTTTGCTCCTCTTGGTGACTCAGTTGCCTGCCTGACGTCACCACCTGTAACCTGCTCAAGGGAACGGACAGGGCCCTGTCATGCTATAAATAGGGTGAGCCCTATGCCCCCGGGTTATGCCTGTTGTCCTGGTCTAACTATTCATAGCAGCCCGCTTTCACTCTCAAAAGTGTCCCAGCTTGGATGATAAATTATACAGCCACCACTCTGGATACAAAAGACACCCAGAAAAAAAATGTGTTGGCTATTGCCCATCCCATAATTCTGACCATATGCAAACAACTGCTTTGAGCCTTGGTTTCCTCCTCCCTTCTTCCAGGGGAGAGCCGTGGAAGTCAGCAAACCATCCCCCCTGGCAAAACTGTCTGCACACTGTGCCTGGGTTGCATGCCCACGCCGTTATCAGTCACCCCCAGGGGATGCTCCCAACCCCAGAAGGTGGCTCTCAGCTGCGGGCACGTTGTACTGATTGGAGATAGAGCCTCAATCAAAATGGCAGGTTTCCATGCTTTTCCCACCTTCTGCATTTTACTACAGTCAATGTAATGTAAGGTTTAATTTGAATGACAGGATGGTTACGTGGCCAAATATGCTGGACTAAAACAGGGATCACGAGCACTGGGTCTCGTTCCGCTTGCTGAAGCCTTAAACTTGGACAAGTGTTCAGTTTCTTCTTTGGAACCAAAGCAAGGACAGCTAGCACACAGGCGCGTTCCAAGGATTAACCAAAAGAAATGCCTTTTAATGAATGTCACATGTGAGATAACTAACTTGACATATTAGTACCAACAGAAATAGCCCATTAATTTTTTTTATATAACACAAAAGGCCTATCATTGCCTTGGCTTTTCATCACGTGTTTCCTTTCATGTTTCCTAAACAAGACGTGTTTCCTGTGAAGCTTCAGTATGTGAAGCTTCAAAGTATGCATTTTGATTCTGAACAGAGCAGAAAAACCTCTGAGTAACAGAACAGCTTTGCCGTTGTTAGAAGTTAATCAAAATATAAACACTTCAGTCAACATTGGATAAAAAACATTGGTATTGATTAAATTACTGCTTTAAACCATCATTCTACTTCTATCTGGAGATTAATTTATTCTTCACACAGAATACGAACAATCAGATTCTATGCAATTTTTAATTCTTTCTTCACAAATTCTGTAGCTAAGAGAAAAATTATATAAGAGTATATCATGAAATGAGTAAAAAGCACTAATTTGTAGGATTTAAATGAAAACAGCAGAATACAAAATATGTACACTAAGGCTACCCTATATAAAAGACTGAACTCTAATGGCAAAAATAAACAAACTAGTTATGTTGAGACGGTAGAATTATGTTTTTTCAAACGTACCTCATATTTCTACATAATGCTTCAAAATAAAACAGAACATTTCCCAAAAGGCACACACAAACTGCATGTTAATAATTTCAGTTAGATGCCCATATACAAAATACATATGATGGAGGCAATGGAGCTTGAACTTTCTCTGAGGTACAGGTAATCTAACCCAATATTAATGCAGGACGGATTTCATCTCCACCCACAGTGGACAGTGTACAGCCCTCAGACTCTCACTGGTAAGGACAACACAACAGCCGTCTGCACTGTTTAGAGCTGAGGTGAAAAGTTCCTAACTGCAACCCAGGCAGAAAAAGGAGAAATACTTCCTGGTTGTGACCAAACTCAAGCCAGAGCCCCTGAAACATCAAGCTTTGAATCACATCCATTTCTCAAGCCATGTAGCAAGTCTATGAGCTACCAATATTTATCAGAGCAACAAAGCAGTCTTCCACTTGTTGAAAATATTAAAGTACACGTGATTTTACAAGGGTCTTCAAACTGCGTTTTTAGTAAATCCTATGGGAAAAGAGTCTACATTTTAAATAAGGCATACAGATATGACTAATCTCTGGAAATCAGCAAGGCCAATTATATCGGAGAGCAATTGAAATTTCTGATTTCCCACGTATAGGGGTCTCTACTGAGACCAACATAATTCAGGCTAATTTCACAATGGGAGATTTAGGGAAAAAAAAAAAAAATCCCAAATACATTTACGGCATTTCTTTCAAGGAATTGATTTGGAACAGAAAGAACATTTAGGTGAGGCCTCGTGCTTCGATTAAAATCATCAACTTTTGAAAAGTATTTGTACGTTTCACAAATGTGGCATTTCACATCAGGACTTCAACTTTAGCTGGGCGATAATCTATAATCAGTTTAAGACCTCTCCTTCAACTGCTAATTAACCTTAACAATAAAAAGGCAAATAAAAGCACAATAAATGAATTTGTGCATACTTCCTCCACTGCAATTGACCAGAGACAGCACATGGCTTTGACCTGTTTGCTAAGAGTCCTCAGGTTTAGGTTCAAAGAAAAGCACTTGGGACACTGACAATGTCTTAGGCACTTGTGTCTCACAGCTTCCCTCTGGCATTAACCTGTGTCATAATAACATGAACAGCGTAATAAAAGGAGGTTAAAAACCTCTGCAAGAGATTGAAATCGTACTCTGTTATTTGTTCCCTTAAAATGTTTCACCTTTTAAATATAAAATTTTAGCATAAATTATACATTGGTTTTTTTAAAAAAAAAACTTCACACAAACTGACCCCCAAAGAACTTCGGATAAGTAGATAAGAATTAGCAATAGGACAGGAAGGAATTTTAGATCGTAAGACTGTCACACCTACTGACAAGAACCGTAGCCATGCGGGTGACCAGGGTGATCGCAGATTTTCCTTCCTTACCTCTCTCCTTCCTTCACTCCTCCCTTCCTTTCCTTTTCCTTCCTTTCCTTGCTTGAATTCAAAATCAGTTTTCCTGTGAAATTTGCCTCTGAGCCTATACTTAGAGCCTCCCATGTTAAATTTCTATGTGAGCATAATAAAACCAGTCTATCTTAAATTTGGAAATGGAGTCAAGTTTTGTTCCTGCAGGGCTGCAAGAGGGACTCTGGGCATAGCCTAGTGATCTTTTTCCTTCAGATTCTTCCCCATCTTTGAAACCTTTGCAAGAGTTCCTGAGTCCGAGAGAAGAGTGCCGAGGGCCTGCCCTCTCTCTTCTGCCCCAAACCCTGCTCCTGGGGCAACTAGTAATCTCCCGTGAAAATCTGGGGGTGTCAGCAAGTTGAATGTCTCTGAAGAGGTTAACCCAGTAAGAACTGTCAGCCAGCTGCACAGGCAGCTTTGCACGTGACCGACCGCTGAGAAACGTGTGGAAGTGGAGCAAGGGAGGGCGGGCCCGTCATTCACCTGTACGGAGAGGCCGTCCCCCAGGAGAGATAATCAGTGGGTCTTGGAGCAGGACGAGGTACAATGGGCTGCTCCACAGCAGTCACGTCCCCTGAGTAGGATTTGAGGAGGGAAGCATTTTTGTTGGCCAGCATGGCTCTCTCATTCCTGCGGAATTTGGCTCTTCGGTTCTGAAACCACACCTAGAGGAGCGTGGGGAGGAAAGGAAGGGGGTGAGGAGGGAGGAGGGAAACAAAGAAGAAGAGGTTACGTGAAGAACATCCTCGTTGATTTGACCATATGAACGTGTCCCCAAGGAAGATACAGGATACGTACTGGATCCTTCCCAGAACAAGACATATAGGCCACAACCCTTCCCCGGTGGGCCACTCAGACAGCCATCGGGGGTGAAGACTCTGACAACCAGACCCTGAGGTACTTCCACAACTGAGCCTCCGGAGGTGAGATCCATGACTGACCTATTGGGTTCTGACCCCTGTCGTTTTGTAATCAAGAACAAGAGACAAACCTCATTGGAGTCTGGCCACAGACACAACCACGATCTTTTTCAGTTGTTTTCAAAATTCTTCAAAATATGACAATACCATCTGCTTTCAAAAGACTTATTGGACATTTAAAGAAAATTCTCTCCATCACATCCAATGGTGCCTGTGGCAAGCATTTACAAAGCGAGTGGCTCATTTGGAAGGTGCAGGGAGCACCAGCAAAAGATCTAGGGAAAAGGAAGTAAAAGGAAGTAACACAGAAGACAAGCAGACCCTAGAGAGTGAGCTTCCCGACAGCGCCCCTGTGATGGCTCAGCCATGGGGCCCCGAGGACCAGCGTAGGACACAAGCGCCAGCTAGGGTGAGAGAGCCCGCAATTTGTACGTGGGCTCCTAGCAGTCATGGGTTAGGAATGTTTCAGCACTTCTGGCATGGGGAGCACAGGCAGGGCAAGTCTCCTGATGTTCTAGGAAGAAACACGCACAGCAATGCAGATGTCAAAGGCTGGAAGTTGACTGGAGCGTATTTTCCGGCAGGGTGTGAGGGATGTGGACCACTCAGCCAGCCAGGGCTGCACCTGAGGACCCAGCAGCATTGATCAAGTGTCACGAGGACCGGGAACTTACACGAGCACATGGCATACATTGCTTCCAGATACCATGGCTGTTCCACACATTAGGCTGTACTGTTTTCTATTTCGGAGCTGAGGGAAAAGGTTCAGTGAGATTCATCTGTTGAAGTTCACACACAACAAATGGCTGTGTTTCTGTGCTCAGGGACATCTGACTCATGATCACACACCTCCTCCAGAATGCCACGGAATTCTGCTCGTTTAGTTACTCATTCAAGAAATCTTTATGGAGTCCCTGCTGTGTTCCAGACTCTGTGCTAATTGCCAGGAATAGAGATGAGATTTACTCCCTGCTCCTAAGTAGCCCACAGTCTATTAAAAGAAGACAGGCATGCAAACTTGAAAAACTGCAAAGCAAGTCTTTTAGGTCCAAGTATAGAAGCATATGACAAGGTGTGGGGGAAAGAAAGTCTACGGTGTGGAGCAGGACAGGTGCACGGCCTTTGGGAGCAATATTCACGTGAAATGCCACGTGGCTGGTGCCCCTAGGAATTGTGTCACTTGAAAAGCCCCGGTGGGTGTCAGCAAAGGAGAATCTGGACGTCTCTTTCACACACGCCCGGCTCTTTTGTTTCTCATGTGCCCTTTGCATGGCTATTAGATTTCCAATTTTAAATACAAATGGAATCGTGTTAGCGCCCTGCTTTATAGCATCCACTGGCTCTCCATCACTCACAGAGTTAAATCAGAACTTCTTAGCACAGAACAAAGGCTGCTCAGGAATTAGCTCGTGGTCCACCAGCCTGGCCACATCATGCATCACCTGGGCCTCGTGCACTAGCCCTCCGTCATTTCCAGCTCCTACCCTGGTCTCCAGATGACTAGACGTATTCAGTTATTTGCCACCTCTATTTATTCACAACAAATGCTTCCTCTGCCTGTGATGGTCTCCCCCTCTTTGTCCAGGTTTCAAAAGACTTGTTTTTCGTGATTTAATTTTTTTAATGTTTATTTACTTTTGAGAGAGAGAGAGAGAGAGAGCAGGAGCCAAGGACAGAGAGAGAGGGGGACAGAGGATCTAAAGCGGGTTCTGTGCTGACAAGCAGAGAGCCTGATGTGGGGCTGGGACTCACAGATGATGAGATCATGACCCGAGCCAAAGTTTGATGCTTGAAGGACTGAACCAGCCAGGTGCCCCTGTTTTTCAAGATTTAATTTCAAGATTTACAAATCAGCTCCTTTGTAAAGTGGTGTAGTGGAAAGAATGTGACTTTAAAGTCTACCAGAGTTGGATAAAAATACTGGCTTTATTACTTTAAAAATGTGTCACTGAATAGTTATTTAATGTCCCTGATCCTCTGTTTCCTACCCAAATGGACAAAACAATACTCACAGGGCTGTTATGGGAGTTGGCACAGAATGGGTGCTTAATATATGTGTATTCTCACACTTTTTCACCAGGCAGATTTGCTCATTCCTTTGTCTGGTCTATCACTAATTCTTGTATATTCCATTAGTGTGCGAATCACCTTACTATATCATCACAGTGCGGCACACACATCTATTTTCTCTGCCTCTAGTCTATAATACCCGAAAGGAGAGGGCCAATGTGTTACTCATCCCCAGCAAACCAAAAGCAGTTCCAAGAGTATAACAGGTGCTTGATAAATGTTTGGGGGTGGGGGAAAAAGGAGAGGGAAAAGAAAGAGGAAGGAAAAATGACTTTCACAAAAATGATAAGGACCTCCATCTAAGAGGATTCGCAGTCTAGCTGTGAAAGCTGGCTCACATACAAGTCAATATAATATGTGTCCTATTGTGATAAATGCCACAAAGAAGGCCAGAGCCAGAAGGGAGTGGTTCAAGCTGGGGAAGGGCAAGACTTCACAGGGGAAGGATAAAGTTGTACAGATAGAATTGCGTCCTGCTTGTATCTGAAACATCCGCAGTTCCGAGAGGCACTGGAACATAATAGGGGAGGAAAGGAGAACAAGAGAATAGTTTCAACATATAAAAAAGCATTCATTTGTTGTTGTACTGGGAGCTAGAGCAACTCACAAACTGGTCTTTCACATTAAAAAAAAAAAAAAAAAAAAAAAGGTTATTTTCCAGCTTTGCCCCATCCAGGTTTCCTTATTTGCAATTCAGATCACCATGTCCAGAGTGGTACTTCAAGGTACTGGGGGTTATTGGTCTAAAATGACTCATTACACTATTGTAGGCCAAGCCTGGGGCACAGAAGTTAGGGGGACTTGAAGGGAGAGAAAGGGACTGAAAAGTGGAAATACGAGTGTGTTTGGAGAGCTGTGGTTAGCTGCACAGGGGAGGAGGATGTGGGAAGTCAGACCTCAAGGTTTCGCTTTGGATGACAGAATCCAGACAGCAAAACTGAGTCTTGTCCCTGTAGATCCTGCGGGTCTCTCTCACCTGAGCTGGGAGGAATGGCCACTCAGTGCCGAAAGCTTCACACTTTGTCCTGACCCACGTGGTACCATGGGTCTCGGCCACTTCCCCTTCCGTGGCTGACCCCTTTTTTTTTCTCCTGGGGGGCACTTCTAGGTGAGGTGGATGATTCCCTATGAGGAGAACTCTGGCAAAGTTTCTCGCCAGGCGGAAGGGACCTCCGGGACCCTCTCTGTCAACTCAAACAGTGTCCCTCACAGTACACTGCCTGTCAAGCCACAGGCTCCACCTCAGCACCCTCGAGGTCTAGTCCAAGCCCCTGTCAGTCGAGAGATCTGTCATCTGCAGAAGGAAATCCCTCCAGCTCAAACTGAACACAAATATACAAACAATAATTTCCTCAAGAAGACAGGACAGATTGGTCTAATCCCCTCCCACCTTTATCAAAATGGCAGCCCATCCCTGGCTAGATGAAGAACAATGAGATCTTTACAGCCTGCAGAGGTAGCAAAGGGCCCGTGGAAAGGCACTTAGCCATCAGACTCTTATTTATTCAAAGTGTACTCCAGTCCTTAAAAGCATGAACTTGGCACGGAGGAGGGCACTTGTTGGGATGAGCCCTGGGCGTTCTATGGAAACCAACTTGACAATAAACTGTATTTAAAAAAAAGAAAAAAGCATGAACTAACTTGGCACATCTGCACTCAAACCGGAGCTTTGCTACTTCCTAGCTGCATGAGGCTGGGCAAAATACTGTAACCTCTCTGTGCCTCAATTTCCAAAACATCTGCAAGGTGAAGAACACTATCCACCTCATTGAACTGGTGTGACAATTAAACAGATGGTTTATATAAAGGACATAGAACACTACTCAGCTTATAAGGGTTCAAGTAGTGTTAGTTATTAGTGTCATCATTAGTACTAATCCCAGCTTGTGTTATTTCTAGATGCCTGGATCGCAGTTGATGTGTCATGGAATTAATGTTAGGAAGACTGCTGTTCTCTCTCTACACTGTCCGACATGCCTTCGCCCTTCCTCACTTCACAGAAACAGAATCATCTGCCAGAACATGCTCTTAGAGCAGTTCCTAAATGCGAGGTCTTTGATGTGCTCGTTTCCACTGCCGCCAGTGTCCATAATCATGTATATTTATAATACATTTCTTGAAGGTCTGTACGTTCCCAAAGTCTGGGAAGGAAAACTGGGGTGGGCTGCAGAGAATTCATCTCAGGGGCCACCCTAACGCTCAAACTGAAAGCTGAGGTGGGTGCAGAGTCCGATGTTCTGAACGAACTACACTGTTTATCACACGAATCTGAAAGGGCAGGCAACAAAGAGGAGGAGTAAGCTGTAGCAAGGCACATTCTGCCTGCCTACGAGCTTCAATCTGATTATTAAAAACACTGAAGCTGTCCAAAGAAACGCCGTTAGGATCTGGTTCTGCCTCATGCTGCCCCTTTAGCATCTTTCTTAGCAGCAGCACCTGTTCAAAACCAATGACTCGGGTTTGGGGGCTGTCTGAGGCGCTACGTTGGTTACCTGCACTCTGGCCTCAGTCAGGTTCACCCGGCGGGCGAGGTCCTCTCGCACGAAGGCGTCCGGGTAGTGTGTCCGCTCGAAGACGCGTTCCAGAGCCTGCAGCTGGCTGCTGTTGAAGGTCGTCCGGTTCCTCCGCTGCTTTCTCTTCTTCTTTTCCTCAGAGTTCAGCTGGTCATCTGGAGCAGAAGAAATTGATGCTAAGGAGCTGAAGTCCGTGTTACACTCTTGCTGAATACCTATGGTAAGGGATCATCGAATCTGCTCCCGTTCTTATCAAAGTGTTAGAACCCGATGCCCCCTTCAGGTGCAGATGCGGGCACTGGCACGCTTGAGTTCACAGGCCAATGACCTCCGGGGAGTTCGCATATTTGACTGTTGCTTCTAAATCTGGGACCAGACCTGAACTGATAGGGAGAGATTTCTTGCATGTTCCTTGAACCCTATTTTGTCAAGGATGTCTAAAGGAAAACCTTACTCCTACCCACGATCTCTAGACTGATCTAGAGATGAGGGAAGGATAGATTGCTTTGGACCTTATTTGCCTTTTGTTATATTATGTTCATTTATACAATTTCATAACCAAGGAAACCAACGATTCCCTGCTTCCTTCTTCTCCACATACCCACATAAACACAAATGCAGCGTTTGTAGAGGAAACAAATGAGTTCAAACTGATCAGTATGATTCCTGTTTTACCACGCATTCTCTTAGAAACAGCAAGTCATTCCTGACTGCATCAAACGCAGTCAAGGTTCCATGCTCTTGCTAAGGCCAGCTTTGGAGGCCTTGGCCTAGATCAGGGATGGTGCTCCGGCACAATCAACCCAAGCCAACATTGGCCTAGGATGCACCCGAGGAGAACATAAGCATGGGGAACTGTACTGAAAGACCTCTGAAAGAGTTTCACCCAAACCTGGAGTTCTAGGGCCCTGAGATCTTGGGAACCTTTGGAGAATCATAACCCCAAGTTTTCACCCGTCAAGATTCCCCTCCCTGCCTGTTTTCCACTGAGGTCTCCCAAAGGCACCTTGGCAAGCTGGTCATCCAGCCTGCTCTTGGGAGTAAGAGGGTCTCGAGCTCCCACCCTGCTTCCCAACTCAGCGTAAGCAGGAATGATGGATGTGTGAAGCCGAGCGGAACACCTCTGGTGCTGCCATCACCGCCAAGCCATCCAGGCAAGGCCCAAGCCACAGTAAAGGCTACGTAGTGCTCAGAGATTTATTGTGTAGAGGTGCGGAGGCCTAAGACATGTGCTCTGCCTGGCGAACTGGACATACACTTCCAATGGTCTTTCCCTAAGTCTCAGCCCGAAGAAAACCAGGAATGAGTGGGAAAGCAGGGCTTGGCCACTTGCTCCATGGTCAACAGAAAATAGCTCTCAGCCATGTTTTTTCCAACATGTGAGGTTTTCCTGACCTCTCTGACAATAAACACACAACACACTCAAGAAACATGACTAGCATGAATCATGATGTCCTGAAGAAAAATGACGCCTACCTGAGCTGTAATATTATCTAGATTTGGGTGTGGATTCAAAGCATAGCTTAAATCCAAGAGGTCCTGGCCCCGATCTCCGAGTGTCTGACAACTGGGGCCTCTACTTGGGTTTGATCAGGGACTCCATGAGTGCTGCCTTCCCAGAATAGATACTTGGGATAAAAACCACACATTTCCCCCTGGTTATTTAAAGCACCCAGATATGGCAAGTGCTTGTTGAATTTCTTTACAAGGAAAATGTGAAACTTTTCTCATCTCTAGGAAACTGTTTCTGTTGGGAAAAAAAAAACCCCACAGATACCAATCTCATTCTTCTAGCTCAGGGGGTGCTGACACCCATTCCCTCAGCCTCACAGTTGACCACCTCCCTGTTTCTCCCATTTGTGGTACCCCAACCAGGAGCCCCTCTTTGAAGATGCTGCTGGGACGTTTTCAATTAGAATGTGAGATTAGTAGCATCCTGAGAATGGGGGCAATTTAATTATCATGATCTCTGGGATCTACCAAGGCCTGGAACATTCCAGCTAACATCCTATTCAGCTATCAGCGAAATCCATTTGCGACGACATCTACACTAGAATTCACATACCTGGGATCAAACAGCTCTCAGTAGTTGCCTCACATCTGTGTTCACCTTCCCATTTAAATATTGGGAGGCTTTCCTGTTTTTTGCATTCTCTTTCCCAAATCTTTTGGTCTACAGTTTTATCTGTCTTGCACTTCAGGTCTCTCTGGGTCACCCAGGCCTTTTTCATAGCCGTACCACCTGCATTTCATGCTCCTATTTACCAGAGGTCTGGGGAAAAAAAATGCTTAGCTGCTATACCTGTCCAGGACTGAGACCAATTAGATGGACCCTAGGCTATTATTTTCATTCCTATCAAGGAAATCCCTTCTTAAGCCAATCCCATGATCTACTTTCTCCCTCAAAGAAGCCTTCCTCAGGTATAACCACAGATTCTAAATCCCTTCTTCTGTTTTGTAAGCCTTTTCTTTTTGTACTGCCAAACTGTGATCAAGGACAAGAGAGAGTACTTTACATTTTGTTTTTAGTACTACAACCCACTACATAATCTCTTGGTAGTTCTTTGAAATCTTTCTCTGTTCATTCAAATTCCACCAACTGTCCACCATAAACCACTAGCTCCCCTAACGTGGGAGTAAGGGAAATGGAGAATTATAGTTTATGACACAGAATAAATAGCTATGATGACCTGAAACAATTCCAGCGAAAATTTCCCACTGGATGTTCTTGTTGTTTTTAACAAATGAAAACACCAGTCCAGATCGTGTTGAAGGTGCGAAAAGACACACAAATAACAGGGGCCCATGGAGCCTGGGTCTGGCAAACGTCCTCCAAAGGGCAAGGATAATGGAAAGAGGCAATGAGTGGGCAACAGAGACAGCTTGAGCGGCAGCCCTTGGCTCGTCTGTCTTTGCTCGCTATCCACAGACTGTGCGTTCCCTGGTTTCCTCCAAGAATACTGAAGACAGGACCCAACACGGTCTCCTGGGCAGCACGAGAGGAAACGTAAATATTGCAGAGGTTTATAAATGTGGGGCATCTGAAGGGCCTGTGATAAACTCCTTTAGCAGATTCTGGACTCTGGTTAAATAGAGAGGAGAGAATGCAGTGGACTTTTATCATTGCAGGTAAATCATCTTTCTTGTAAAACCAATTACTTAGAGAGTTGATTCTGACACATGCTGCCCAAGGATACAGATGTCCAACTGGACTTCGGGAAGCATCTCCTGTTTTGAAATTCTGAAGTGGTAGGAATCACGATGCTGCAGAATAACCAAAGAGGACATGGATGGATTTTTTTCAAGGTCAATATTTCTAATCCAAGGTGTTTATGGATTTTATGAAGGATTCTGTGTTTTTATGTATGCTGTGGATGATTGGTAAATTGTAAGTTTATAGTTACTGCCATGATTTCTAACATGAAGATGGATTCAGAAATCATAAACCATTGGTACCAAGTGAAGTCAGAGAAATTGTCTAATTCAGCCCCCTTATTGTATAGATGAGGCAAGCTAAGCCTTAAAGGATGAAGTGACTTACCCCAAACTACAATACCAGCTGTCACTGAGTCAGACCTAGAAGCCAGGACTTCTAATTCCACTCCAGTCTCAAGTGCAAATTACAATAGTTATATTGTATGAAACATCCAAGATGTAAATAAAAAGCACTACTCTGGGAAAATTTTCTGGGAAATACAGGTTTTTTTCAGATGAGCTACATAAAGAGGGTCTAAGATAGAGGGTGCCTGTGTATCACATGTTGTCATTTCTACCAGAAGAGTCACTTAAAAATGTAAACAGGCTCATCTAGAATAGCTACTTTGGTCCAGATGTTCTTGAATTTTCTTTTTCAGTGGCCTCTGAAAGTCCCTGCTTTATCAATTAAACATGTGCAGTTTGTACTGTGTTTTGCACAGTAGTTTTGCACTGCTTCCATCTTCTCTCCACATCCATATCAACCCTCTTTTTCTTAAACTGGGACACAGTTCAACATCTCTGCTTCCTGTGACACATCCCAAATGTTACCTCCTCTAAGACTTTGCTGATAATTTCTATCCGTATTGATCTCTCCATTCTCTTAATCCCTACGTATATTTTAGTATATGACCAAATACTTTATTTTGGAGTGGGGAGAAAGGCAGAGAGAGATAGAGAGAAAGAATCTTAAGCAGACTCCATGCTCAGTGGGGAGCCCAACTCAGGGCTTAATCCCATGACCATGGGATCATGAACTGAGCCCAAATCAAGAATGGGACACTCAACCAACTGAGCCACCCAGACTCCCCTAACCAAATACTATTTAAAAAGTATAGTTTCATTCTTTCTGTATAAATGTTTTGTCACTTTGATGCACTCATATATTCCTGTAGAAAAGGTGTAGGGTCACTTGATAAATGACATGGCAATAAAAACTTAAGAGTCATGGTAGTAATTGTAGCACAGAAGTAGTCTCAGAAAATTAGAACTGTTGGAATCATCTGATTTTAAAGGGCTGGATTCCTTTTATTCTGAATTCCAATTATTCTTTTTAACAGTCCGTAGCAAATAGTTACATTAACTATTTAGGTTAGGTTACGTTAACAGTCTCTTTTGTTTCTGGATCACTTTTCCTGTGGAGGAGAGAAAGTGTTTACCGTTTCTTTTTCAAATAGGTTAGTTGTGATCAGATTTAGGCATGAGAAAAATCTGTGTGGCTCTGATTCCTTTGTAAATGCAGGAATCTATCTTTAATTTTTATTCCTTACTAGAAAAGCAGCCCCAAGATAAATGAAAGGTTTCAACGAGCAGAAGCACAGGCGAGAAAGAGATGCTAAAGAGGATGGTGTTTGCAATGGATCAGGATGTTAGGACACGCATGAGCTCTGGTCCTGAAAAGAGAGCCCCTAAGTCATAGGTGGGATGTCCCTTGTGCATCCAAACACAAGTTAAAGGGAACACCAGCTCTGTTCTTGGCTCTGGGCTGAAATTCACAGTGAGCTCCACATATGGCTGCCGGAACTTCCCTGAAGGGTGGGTGGGGAAGACAATGTGAGGCATGGAAAGGGCCATCCTCATACAGGAGGACCAGACAACACATCGTGACCCCTACTCTCCATGGTGCCGCACTCGCCATGCAGACTTCATTAACTCCCAAAGACCTCGGCCCTCTTTCTGC